CCCAAATTGTTCCTCCAGTTCACTGTTGATATTCAAATCTTAAGTGTGGACTGTGTTGAGTTTGAAAACACTGACACCGCTGTAACGAAACCAGAGAGAGTGTGTCTTTAAACTACTTAGTGAAGCCACTCAGAATGAGCAGTGACTGAATGAGGTCATAAAACACAATATTGTTCAAATGAGTGATCTTATATTGCACAAGAAAGGGATTATAAAGCTTAATGACTTAAATGGCTGAAAAACCAATCTTAAGAGTTTGGTCTACGTTTTCAGTAAGGTTCTTATTTATGTCCATCATAAATTACATGTTTAATTGTCCAATAGTAAAATTTATAGTTTTTATTCATATTTCCCAAGTTTGTGTCAACCTACAGGTGTCTGGCATGTTGATTTATAGCAGTTAGTGATAGTCATGAGTTAGTCAAATTATTTATTAACCCTTGATATTTGCATGACTACAGTAAATTGATACTGATGGCTTTTTATGTCCAATAGATCTACAACAGAATGTTTGATGTTGTAATAAACAGTCTACTGCTGATAAGGTGTTTCCCTCTGGAATAATAACTATAAAAATGTTGGGTAACACTTTACAATAAGGGACACAAAATTGTTCTAAGTCAAGCATATGAGTGAGTCCACTCAACTATAATGACAACGACAGTGGCCAACGATATCACTGATCCAGTCATGGTAGAGGGAAGTCATCATCACTTCACAGTGAGACAGGGATAGCAATTACATGATTGGTTCAGGGTCACGATGAGCTCAGCTTTTGATCACCAGATTAAAATCATAACACACTGTCCTGCAGACGACAGCATGTGCTTAGATCTTCATTCAGCCGAACAGAACTCAACATATATCTATTAAGCCATATAACAGATAACATATCTCAAAAATCTCTCCAAAGGTTCTCATATACTTGCTGATGTCTTTGGAAACTTGAGGCACATGTGCAACTGGTAAACATGTGGAGTGGGCTGACTACTGATTGACAGAGTACATCTTAGGTGGGCTGATAGAGGTGGATGGAGATGAAGTGATCAGGCGAGTGGGTTGAGTAAATCAAAGTGCAGGCTTTTTACACATGTGGGTAATGACGCCTGGTCATGATAGTATTAAGTTAGAAAAACACAATCTACGTAAAGTGTAAAGAAAAATGTCTTATGCCGGAAATTATTGCATACCCTTGATGAGAAAAGAAATATATATCACAAGAGTTTCAAAGCCAGTGGCTTTAAAACTGATAAAAGTTTGAGAAAAGGGCAGCAGGTGCCTGAAGACTAATTGGAATTGAGTTCACAGTTGTGTGTGACCAGAGACAATAAAACTGCCCACAAAGAGTGTTAACTGCTGCCTTATTGTGTGTGTGTGTGTGTGTGTGTGTGTGTGTGTGTGTGTCCATAGGTGTGTGTGTGTG